GATACCGTGGCTTCTTTTGAGAGCAAAGTATCAGACAGCAGCAGTCTGAAAAGACTTCCTTGCTTTTCCCAAGTCTTCCACTCCCCCACGGAGTGGCCTGTGCCAAATACTTGCTTTGTTTTTTCGTCTTTAAATTGAAACTCATAGCAGCTGCAGTTAACATAACTAATTTCATCAATATACCTCTCTTAGATATGCAAATGAAAATCTCTTGTGGGAAAATAGTTGTGACTCTTTATTATGTGCCTAACTGAAATCTTAAAATCAAAGACGATGGTTCTCAGTTGTTACAGGTGGGGCTTTATTTAGCAGCCTGTTGCTGTTTTGAGCTTTCTTAGGGAGTTGAGTACTGTCAAGAACAGTTGTACCATTTTGTTGCTGATGTTATAACCTATTGGGGTTGTTTCTGGTGGCAATCCCTGATCTTTTATCTGTTTTTTACAAACCATGCCATGACTGTACCTCAGTGACCAGTACCTTAGAACATGTGATGGATTTTGGCTTTGACTGATGTTGGTCTAATATGCAAAGGTTGGCTCAAACGAGAACATTAATGGTACCAATATTTGATAGTGCTAATATAATTCAAAAAAGTGATCTCCTGGGCCATGTGTTGGTGCAGTTTACTTGGCATGCAGCTCTAGCACATAATATACCCACAGTATAAGGGTGTGCAGGGCTATTCACTTACATCTCTAGCTTAAATCCTGAACTAATTAATATTCACAGGGTGAAGGGACAAAAAGGGTTATACTACATCATGTATAGCCTGCAAAAGAAACAAACACCTTTAAAAAATATCTGTATTCCTCTTTCTTGGGTGTGTATTCATTCCTTATAGCACTTATGAATCCTTTATGATAAGACACAAAAAGGAAAAGTATCATCTTCAGCTGTTCAGAGAGCATTGCCCTCAGTTTTTAATAGTTAGGGGGCCAGGTGTGTGGGGAGTGGAGATGCAGCTGAGCTCAGTGACACTCTGAGAAGTGCCAACATGAGTAGCAGCATGCATGGTGAACCATTTGGGTGGAATGAGTGGAACATGACTGATCCCAGACTTGAGTAATATCACAGGGTGTCAGAAGGATTGTTACAAGAACTTATGTTACACTGGACAAGTGATTTATGCATATTTTTTTGAAGCAGTTTCCCTAAATTGTAGATAGAACTTGCATAGAAATCTCTGGAGCAGAAATCCCTTTTGCACCCTAGAAGCCCGTAGAAACTTTACCATGATTATGAAATTGGACCTGAGGATTTACAGAGACAATATGCTTTATTCATCCCATTCATCAGAGAGCCTTGAACACCGTACAGAACTCACAGCCATCCCCTCGGAGGTCTCATTTCCTCCCTTCTGAGGAAGGTGGTAGGACAGGCTGCCTGGATGCCCATGAAGGCGTCAGGACCACCTGTGTTGCATCTCACAGGTAGGTCAGGTCAATGGTACTGCAAATATCCAGGAAGTTCAAACACTATGAATTTGCACTTCAAAACGATGAAAAGTGGTCACCCCCAAATAATTTAAAAGATACCTTGAGATGTGTCTTGATAATAACGTGACCCAAATACAAGAATTTCATTATTGAAGACCTGTGGAATCTTCCAGAGATTAATTAAAGAACGTACCATGTAATACCTATTACTTTGCAGAAGCACTGCAGGGGCAGCAGGAGCACCTTGTTTGCCTTTGATCCTATCTGTGGTTGCTGAATGGCATTTTAGAAATCACTAATAGTACAACAAGATGCTCAGAAGTAAATTTCATCCTTATATTATTTAGTTCAAATCAATATGATCTGAACAGAAGTAGACCATGATTTTCCATATATGTTTTTTTCTAATTGTTTTATTTAATTTCACTTGTCAGGACAAAAAAGACCTGGTAAGGTCTAACCTAAGGTAAACCTAAACCTATTTGTAATTTGACACCAGATACAAATATGCTTTTCCAAATTAATCATTTTACAAGTGCATTTTCTATTTAAGATCTTTGTCAAATTAATGAAAAAACAGAACAGAGTATTCTTCAGGGAAAAAAAAGATTGTGGTGACTGTAAATTGATGTGGTTTCATTTTGGATGAGAAAATATACATATAGATAGCAGGAAATGGCAGAGCACAACAACTGTTTTGGCTGCAAGGGCAGTGTGTTCAGTATATGACATTACAGGGGAGTAAAGGATTAAGACTAGAATTAAAAGAGGCAGATTCTTTTGTTATCATGGATTAGCAAACCTCCTTCCAATATATGGAAAAATATTTTGGTATACTTTTTTCCAAACTATCAATGCAATCATATTAAGATACCTAAATTATTTCTTAATTAAAAACCAATTTTATTAATAAATCAGTGTTGGTAATAAAACAGCCAGCTCCAGAGAAGTTCTTGCCTAAAACTTTCAACATCCCAAATAATGCATGATTAAGTACAAGTGGACAGACAGACAGGGTTTTTGTTTCTCCTAAATGATAACATTACATCTGCAATGAGCAAGCATTTTGTTAAAGCCTCCTTTTTTGTCTCTCCTGAAACTTGCAGGGAGAGAATGAGATGAGACTGATCTGCATGGAGAGTGATCTATGAAGCAGTTAGCTAAATGTAGTGGAGAGAAATTATATTATAAAGGCAACTCAGAACTGTTCAAACATGAGGACTATTGGCTGTACATTTGAGTAAATCTATGCAAAATAAAAGCCTAGAAAAACAAAACTCTTTGATCTCGATACATTTCATGCAGAAATCCACTCCAAAATGGGAGTCAAGAGTTCATAGCAAATTCTTCCTCATTTGCTCTGGCAATTTAACTAGCAGATGCTGAATCAAGCTCAGCCCAGGACCAGATGGTATCCATCCAGAACTTCTAAAGGAAATAGTAAAATTATTAACTATGATGTGCAATCTATTGTTTAGAAATATGTTGTTGCCAGGAAAAAAAAATTGTGTAAATGGGATGCCAATGTTTAAAAAGGACTCCAGGGGAACTAAACCCTTGGAATTGTGAGCCAGTCTGTAAGTCTGGCTTTCAGAGATGGAAAACTAATGAGAACTCTAATAACAGATAAAAATCTCTGGACAAATTTGTAGCGGAAAGCTTCACCTTATACATTCGGAGTCCTGAGTATGTGAACAAGGTGATCCACTTTGTTTTGAACACTAACTCCACAGTTGCTGGGATTTGCACAGAATGTCATTCCCTCACACATTCTGCTCTTACTTTTGGTTGAAATTAGTACCTCCTAGAGTTAGTCATGGCTCACTACTTATCCTTCAGCTCTTCAAGCCTGTGCTGCACCTGCTGTCTCCTACCACTGTGATCCAGCTCCTTTGCTGCCTGCACAGCACACAAGGAGAGCTGTGTCCAGTGCAGCCTGGGTCAGTTTGCCTTTTTGCCGACTCCGTGAAGCCTCCAATTGTGGCTGCTGGCCTCATTGGCTTCACCCATCTTGCATGTGCTTAGCAAGCATATCTTGACACTGAAGTGGGCCCTTGCCTTGGGCTGGGGCTCAGTGAGGGGCTCCTGCTGTCCTGGGGAAGCTGGTGCTTCGTCCTGTCCAACATATCTTTGAGACTGACACGAGAGACCTGCACTGTCTTCCCAGTGTTAATCTCAGCCCTGGCCAGCCTCTCACACCCTGAGAGCAGGGTGGTCAGTGGGACCATGCAGTGCTGTGGGCCACTGATGGCCAGCTGCATCCAGGACTCCCAGAGGTGCAAAGTATAATTGAGAAATTAGAACTTTCAACCTGACTTTTCAGTCTACTTTCCTACATACCTATTCCCATTATTCATTCTATAAAGCAAAGCTGGCAAGACTGGAAAAGAAAGCCAGGCTTTCCAATCTGTGTGTATCAGCTTTGAGGGGTCAGGATTTGTTATAAAGAACCTGTTACTGCTCTGCTTTTAAGCAGAAGGGATTTAAAAATGTGAAATTAGTTTTTCATTCAGTTATAGTAGAGATTAATTTCTAATATTAATTTATATTTCTGGCCATAAACAAGCTATATACTGGAAAGTAAAAGCCCATGACTTTGTGAAAAGACCAGTGAGGCTGATGTTTATTTAAAAAGCAGAACTTCTAAGCCATCAAGATCTTTGTGTTTTTCTTTTTCTGGTGTATAACTAATGTGCCACGATTTATCAGGTTTATCAAGTTTGTCAAGTTCTTGCACAGAGGAAATGTATAGACTTCTGCTTATATTAACTGACAATTCTAATATACTTTCATAAGATTTGATCCACTAAGTGAAATTAGTGAGTTTTTCTATTTACTTGCTGGGGTTTGGGTCAGACACGTACAGGATTTTCACAGGAAACTAGCACTTCGCCAATTGAGATAAATGTAGCTGCTTTTATTTTTCTGAGTCTACCCTATCTTCCGTTTACTCTGAAAAATATGAAGACAAGAATCATTTCCATGTAAGGAATGCAAAATCTTCATTATGTTTTTCTCTTCTCTGCCCTTTTATTAAGCAACTGTTACCATTTTAAATGTTAATTGAGAGACAGATTTATCACTCTCCTCACTTGATGAGTCTCATTTATAGGCTGTGACCTAACAGGCTGACTCTGAGAAATAATGCAGAGACATGAGTAGACGCAATCTTGCGAGGGGTTAATGCTGTAATCTTTTCCTGTTTATAATCCCAACAGTAATGCAGTAACAGAAGAGGGTGGATCTAAAAAGTACCCAGGGGGGATGTGTGTGTGTGCGTGTGTGTGTGTGTGTGTGTGTGCATACGTGTGAGTGTGTACGTGCACACACACTTTGCTTTTCTGAGCGGCCGTGTGTGCCTCTGGAATAAATCTTGTTCAGCCAGAACAGGGCTCTGTGTGCTGGGTGCTCCTGCTGGAGAGTCAAACAGCTTCCTTGCACAGCTGCCTCTCTTGTATTTCTTCTGAAGACTTCATTCAGAAACCATTTGCTTACTGAAAGCATGGGCAGATAGTTACAAACCCACCTTCTTCTTCATCGAAGCTACCCTGTGGATACTGAAGAATGGAAATAGTTGATGCTAGTATCTTCCTTGGGAATGGTACCAACATTACTGATTTCCTCTGCGATATCATCTTGGAAAATGACACTTTTTTCTGTGTGGATGATGCACCTTATCCTTCTAAAGGTATGTATGGAAAATTTATTTTTGCCAGGCAGTTTTAGTTCTAGCTGGATTCAGAGATACTATAGAAAGAAAGAGCTATGCAAGGCATTTTCTCTGAGAGAGTGCAAAATCAACTGCTTGCTTTTAAGTTCATATGAGAAACAGGCAGCAAAAATTTAGTATGTGCTGGTTTTCCAAATTCAAAATTGAACTAGGAAAAAATTTGGATATAATGGAACGCTAAAACAGTAGCACTTATGAGCACAAAATGCAAACATCTCTGCTAAGAACTTGGAGAAGTATGATTTTTACTCAGTTCCATAACAATGGAGTGATCAGATCTGACACCATCTATGAAAGTGATTGAATATGAAATCATAGCACTCTGAAGGTGAAAAAAAGTCCATATATTAAAATATCTTTTGATTGCTTGATCTTTTCTTATTTTGCATAAAACAGGATCTCCCATGGTAAGTAAGTGGTGCAGAGTCAGTAGCATGAGAAGCACATGCTTTAAGAAGTTGTATTTGACTCTCCAAATGTACATTGTATTGCTTATATTATAGATTAATGCTATGCAATTTAGGTAGATCAGAATGCATTTAAGAATTTCAGCAGTTTCACTGATTTTGTGTTGGTGTAAAGACATAAACCTTCATAAAATTGAATACAGAAAGGCTTTTACCTTCTGATTAAAGGTTGAAATGTATAATATTTATCTCAGTTGAATACTGTGTAACTGATCTTTTCCTGTGACAATTTTCAGATTTGCATCAGATAATACGGATTCTGCTGTATTGCCTGATATTTCTGCTCAGCATTTTGGGGAACGTTCTGGTGATTACAGTGCTGATAAGAAACAAGCGGATGAGAACAGTCACCAACACATTTCTGCTGTCACTAGCAGTCAGCGACCTGATGCTCTGCCTTTTCTGCATGCCTTTCACCCTCATTCCCAACCTGCTAAAGGATTTTATTTTTGGAAGTGCTGTTTGCAAAACTGCCACTTATTTCATGGGTAAGTCTGGGAAGTTTATACTTATTTTGAAGACTGACTAATGAGACAGGTGAGAAGGTACTTAAAGATCTATAAGAGGCTGATTGTTTCCAACCACCATTGAAGTTATCACTATTACAAAGAAACAACTTTGTAATGCAAAAATTCATAGTTCTAGTGTCCTTGATCTGATCCAGCAACACACAGAGGCACACACACGTAACTTTAATGACATACAGAACAAAAACAAACCAAATGAAAAAGGAAAAGATTTTGTTGCTTTGGGAGACCTTAGTTGATTACAGAAACCTCAGGTCCCCTTTCAACCCATGCCCTTGAGAACTTTGATGTAATGTGAAAGTACACACCTAAAGTGTGCGAATGGGAAATCAACATCTTTTTGTAGATAAAACCAATAAAACTAAAGGCCATGTTTAAACAATTATAATGAATTGCTGGCAAAAATACCCTAAAACATTACTGAAACATTGTCCTCTTATTGCACACAGTGTAAATTGCTTTTTAAAAAATCCAGTGAAATAGGCCAGCATAAAGTTTCTCATTATGAAACTGTTTTATTTTAAGAGTCAGAAAGACAGGACTTCCCACTGAATGTCCAGGTAACAGAGGCATCACCTGACAAACAGACACTGACAACTATTGCATCAACTATGCTCAGTTTTTCAGTTTAAGATGTAGAAAGACAAATTTTCGATTACAGATTTCTGTAAAGCAAATCATAACAATATTGGCATTTTATAGTCTGACACATATTCACAAAGACAAATGAAAGCTTGTTCACTGAAAGAAAAATTTGTGGCAATGTTAAGAAGAAATATTGATAATTTTACAGGGGCACCTCAATGACAGAAACACAAACAACCATATTTTATAAAATGTGAACAGAAGAAATTAAGGGTATTTGAAGGACAAAGATTCTGCTTCATTACTTCGTTTCTCCTTGTTTGTGACTCCATTAGCATCTAATTAAAAAGTTGTAATAGATTTAACTCTCTTGAATGAGAAAATCAGATCATAAGTCAAGCAGGATATTCATAAAAATTAAAACAATAAAAAAGGGACTGTGAATATCTGTGTTAAGAGAGTAATTAACTGATTTCAAATGCTTTGTTTGAATTTCAGTGCAATTAGTGAACAGACCACAGTAGCAAAGAGAATAATTAAGAGTAAAATTGTCTTCTTTCCCTGTTACCAGAATTTTATGATTTGACAGGGTGTGTATTTTTTCTTGGACTTTTGGAGCAAGAGAAGCGCGGAGCAGGAATATCAGTCTGGAGTAGACTGGAGACCCAGACCCACTGCCCACACATTCTTCACTGACTTCATCAGACTGGTGTTTATAAATACTTTTGCTTATAAATAGTGTGCTATATTTTTTAATTTTTGTATGCATACAGCAAGCTAGCAGGACCATTTGGGTATAACATAACCTTAAAACAAGAGGGCAATATTTTTTGGTTTTTTTTTATATGCATAGGTGTCTCAGTAAGTGTCTCTACCTTCAACCTGGTTGCCATATCTTTGGAGAGATACAGTGCCATTTGCAAACCACTGCAGTCCAGGGTCTGGCAGACAAAATCTCACGCCCTGAGAGTGATTGCTGCGACCTGGTGTGTGTCCTTTATTATCATGTCACCATACCCAATCTACAGCAAACTGGTACCTTTCACCAAGTACAACAACACCACAGCAAATATGTGTCGGCTCCTTTGGCCAAGCGATGTCATTCAACAGTCTTGGTAAGAATAACTGGCTGTTAGCAAATGTGTAATTATCTGCTGAAAAACGGGATTTCATCATAGCAATAAGCCTATGAAAAATCAAGTATTAACTTTCTGCAAATGTATACACTGTATCATTCTTATTTAAGATGTTAAAAAAAACCCCAACATTTTTAAGCTGTTTACATTTTGACATTTGAATGTCTTTTCCCTTGTCATAGGAAAGACTGCCCAACATGGCAATGATTCTCACACCACGGTGTGCTAAGCCCCAACTGTCACTGTAAAGAAAGCATCTGTCACTTGTAGTAGGAATACTGCTTTCACTCATTTACACATAAATTTCAACATTCTCAGAGAAATCCTTGATTAATCTTTGAGAAATGCAGACACTTACACCCCTCTGTGTGCTTCCTTGCCTGTTAATTTCTTTGAAGGTTCTCCATAGCACAGAAGTAGAATATAAGGCTGAAAATTTGAGAATCCTTTTGGTTGCTTATGGAGAATAGGGGCAGAGGGAAGTGGGGAGAGACATGCTCCCAGTCCTACACATCCAGGCAGGGTAAACAGCAGCACTATCAAACAGCAATAGTACTTAGGCATGATGTCCTTGCACGTTGACTAAACACTGACTGGCACTCAGAAAGTGTAAGATTTTTTTTGATACTGAAGGTCAGTTGGAACCGGGAAAAAGATTAAAGTCTGCACCATTTTGCTATGGTATATCCACAAAGAGAGCAACTGTGTTAATATTTTCAGTAGTAGTCTTAGGTATTTGGCAGCATGAGGAGGAAGGGTGCAGGACAAAATTCTCTTCTCTGTGGTCTCCTTACAGATTCCCATGTGTGTTACTGAATTTGCACCCAAGTCACAGGGATCAGGAGAGACACAGGCTCATGGATACATTTAAACATGTTTATTTCCCAGCTTGTCGCCACTTCAGAGAAGCTGACTAGGAGAGTAGCCTATGTGAAGCCACATAAAAGCTGCTTCCTTTACCAAAGAGATTGCCACTCCTGGGAGCCCTCCTCAGGAGCTCTTCATGGCCCCAGGGATGAAAACCCAGGTTGTGGCTGGGTTTTTGCCCACATGTGGCACAGCCCTCTGGAAGTCAGATCTGTCCGAAGCACAATGATAGAATAATTTGCATTGGAAAAGACCTCTAAGATCATTGAGTCCAACCATTAAAATATTTTTAATGTACCAAGAACCCCTTTAAGAATCAGATGGTGCTCATTTAGCTTCTGCAAGGCAATTTTAACATTGACCAAAACTACAGGGCATCCAATACTCATCTGGTTACAGCAGGGAGTCCCAGTCATGGGCAGAGAGAACTTCTGCCCCCTTTAACTACTGTGGGAGTGCCCATCTCCTCTGGGCTGCATAGGTGGGATGAAAGACAGTTTTCAGCCATTGTAGTCTTTTTCCTGCTGAGGGAAGCAGGAGAAGAAGTAGGAAGCTTCAAATTTCTGAGGTGTCAAAATGATATTTTGTATTGGCATGAAAAAAATTCAAAAAAATCTTGAAATCCTGCCTTCCCCAATTCTCAGTTGTATAAAAAGGATTTTTTTCTGGTTTTTTGCCATTCCTTATTGCCATTGTTGAGTCAGGAACAGAGGAAGTGACACTGACTCTAGATCAGAAGGCTAAGAGGCTAAAAGCACCAGTTTATTGAAACCCCTCCTTTTATACCCTCGTCTGATCCAGGTAGACTTGATAGGTCATTTAATCAATACATTTCACATGATTGGCTAATTAAGGAGACACCCTTTGGTGTTTGGGGTAAACATCTTTATGAGAAAAACAACTTGTTAAAGTTACCTGCAGATAACCTGTTACCTGCAGATAGTTTACTATTTGTTTACTGTTTATTTTATTCTTTCTCTCCAGCTCCCTAAAGCTTCCCAGACCAATTCATGGGAAAGCTTATTTAGCCTTCTCTCTCTCTGACCAGACTGTCATATCCATACCCTATTCTCAGTGTGTATTTTGATTCCTTAGGTACACTTTTCTGCTACTCACACTCTTTCTTATTCCTGGGATTATAATGATGATTGCATATGGTCTAATTTCTTTGGAACTCTACAGAGGAATAAAATTTGATGCCAGCCAGAGAAAATCTTCACGAGGTAACAAAACAATTTGCTTTGGGGTGGGCTTTTTTAAGTTACAGTTGAAGATACGAGCAGTCATTCTGAGGCTAATAAAAGGAAAGCTTTCTACTTGCAAAAATTATCTTTATGGTCAGTTATGTCATGAACTTGCCAGCCATATTTCCTGATTACAGTTACTCTGCTGTTAGCAAATAAACCTCACCTATGCCTTGTTTGCAAAGATTCTGGGCAGAATGTGTTAAATTTATAATTTTATTCTAGAAATACCAAGATTTTTTTCTGGCCATGGATGGGGACCATTTTTGTCAATAAATGTCACAATGAAAATTGTCAAATTAAAGCAGAAGCATATAACCTTGGAAACTATCTTCTGTCCATACTGAGCTAAGCAACATTCTTACATCTTTTGTATCAGTTTGTCTTGAGGTAAGAAGTGAGAATATTGGGGGATAGTGGATTCAGAGCAGCTGATAACATGACTGACTCAAAAGCAGGCCAGTGCTTTCTTTGCAACAGTTGCTCAGCTATGAATTATGCTGTTTATTTAGATTTAGACTGCATTCTTCATCTTTTATTTGGCCGACTGTTCAGAGATATTTTGCCAACTATTTAAACAGCACTTTATATGTGCAGAGAGAAGAGTAAGTACCTGCAGCGCCAAATACGAGGATGGAGATGGATGCTACCTCAACAAAACAAAAAAGAAAAGGAAAATGCCATTGCAACAGCTCTCTGCTATGAGCCACAACAAAATAGAGAGAGTGAGAAGCAACAGCTCTTCTGCCAACTTAATGGCCAAGAAACTTGTCATCCGTATGCTGATGGTGATAGTGGTTTTGTTTTTCGTTTGCTGGACTCCCATCTTCAGCGTCAATGCCTGGCGAGCCTTCGACACGGCTTCCGCCGACCGGCGCCTCTCGGGGGCTCCCATCTCCTTCATCCACTTGCTGTCCTACACTTCTGCCTGCGTGAACCCCATCATTTACTGCTTCATGAACAAGCGTTTCCGCATGGCCTTCCTGGCCACCTTCACCTGCTGTGCCAGGCAAAAGCCCCCCGCCACACGGGGAGAGGCTGCTGATGAAGAGGAGGGGAAGACGACAAGGGCTTCCCTCTCCAAATGTTCTTACACACACATGTCTGCATCTGCACCCCCCTGAGCTGCACCAGGGAGGCAGTGAGTGGTGAATTGACTGGTCTTGGAAGGTGACTGTGGCTGAACGCCATTTAGTCCTGAGTCAATGAAACACTTCAGCTGGCAGTAAACAGAGCAAGAATTTTATGGGAAATTGATGCTATCACTGTATGAGTGTTAAATCACTTTCCTTCAAAAGTACAAAGGAGGAAGAGAGCTCTGAAGATAAAGGACTTTATGAAAAGCCTTAGAAGTTGCTCTATTTGTAATAAAGTCCGCTGCAAAAATTGGTGTCCTTTGCATCAACAGCTTTGCTCAGTTTTCAGATGCAGTTCTGAGTATAAGATATTTCCAAGATGCAAATAGATTCTCCTCCAACATGAATATATGTAATGCAGTCTTCACTTCACTAGCTATGCCTCATAAGCAAAAATCTTTGTTATATTTGTAGTATCTTTTCACATTATTTTAGCTGAGCTAATACATGTTGAGATAATTTTGGTGTCACTCTCATGGGAATTCTGGAGTGGTAAGAATGGGCTTGTCCATGTGAAATTAATGCTTTTAAGTAAAATAATTTCTTTTTTAAAAATAAAATTAAAATAAATATAGTTCGTTTTGTGGGTGGAATGCTTTCTTCACTCAGGCAATAGCACAAATTAACATAATTTAATGTATTTTTCACTTACATAAACCCCATAGAACAAGGACAAAAAAAATTGCTTTCTTCTGTGCAGCTGAAAGCACCCACATGTGCAAGTTTTGGGGTCTAAGATGAGCCACAAAGGCCCATGTGGAAATTTCCACATTGGGAAGCACAGGGATAAATGCTTGGGGTAAAGCAAAGAAGTGTTTTACAGAAGAGGCAGGACTGAACACACGGGACTGAAGACACAGGTTGGTGCCCACGGCAGTCACATTTCACAGCCACTTCAGGCACAGCACTGCCAACATGGAAATAAAGGCATTGGGTGCAGAATGGCAGAAAGGGCAGATACAATGAGCAAAGGCTGAAAGGCTTTGTCAGAAAACAGTTTTTCTAAACTTTGGAGCAGCTATTTTCTCCAACTACATGTACTTGTAAACAGATTCAGGTTGGAGTAAAACAGGTTTGAATGATGTAAATTTTGGTGCTGTGTTGAGCAAGAATCCAGTCTCTTTCCTGTGCAGCACACAGGTGAGTGTGGGTGTTCATGTCTTGTCCTTTGCTCTGTGGGACTCAGATGGAGAAGTTACATCACTTATTTTGGTTTGTGAAAATATCCTGTTGGAGATGTTTCTATCTTCTAGCTGAATCAGTATCATTATAAACCCTTGTTATTAGACAGAGATTAAATTTGGGTACAGCATGGAATGTAGATGTGGATATTAAATACCAGCCCTCTCAAGGTTTTTAATCAGGAAAATCTGATCTCTTTACAGAATGATTTTAAATTAGAAATATACTGTGAGTTCCAGGACCCAGATCCATGTTCTGCACTCAGTTATTGCCTGAAATGCTTTACCCTAACAACTTAGGACACAACTTCGGCTATTATTTTTTTTTCCATCCAGCTTGTCCACAGACAGGAAATTAAAAAAAAAATTTCTAAACACTATTTATGCACAATCCATAGAAACAACGTTCTGCCTGCCTACTTAATAAAGTAGCATTGCTTCTGGAACAGTGCTGAGACTGCTGACATCGATCTGACCTTTTGCAAATACCCAACAAATTAAATTATGGGATTTAATTCATAGCAATAAAATGAAAATTTTACTTCACTTACAGATACATGTTGAGACCCTCTACAAATCTGTCCTGTGTGTTAAAACTGAAGGAACAAACTTAGCTGCTTTGGAATTTATGTGGAACAGTGGCAGCAGAAAACATACTTGTGAATCATCTTATACCATTTGAAAGCCTGGATCAATTATAGGCAATCGTTTAAAATTTGTTGTTTAAGTAAGAAAACTCTCCACATGTTAATAATATACTGATGTGACTGTTGCTGTCTGTGTGATGTATTGCAGGACAGCCCATACCACAGCTCTGTGTGCTCTTTCAAAAGCAAATTCCTTTTTGTAAATGCAGCTTCTCCAGTACCTGTTGTGTCACCCGAGTGACATAACAGGACATGCACAGTTCACCTGCTCTCACTGATTGAGTCTGAGGATAGTGGTTTCAGATGAAAGCCAAAAGCTATTTTCAACAATGCCTTAATCAAATCTGAGCCCCCCATGGCTCCCGTAGCTGCAGCTGAAAGGAGCAGAGTTTCGATTGATTCCCTTCTCGTAGCTGTCAGGGAGCACAATTTGGAGGTGATGAAATGAGGAAGGCAGGGGAAGATCCTGATGGAGTGGTGGCTGGGAGACAATCAGGGAAGGGTTGAAATGTGCCATTTCTCCAAGGCCCATCTGTGTGTGCGTCACTCGTCCCCTCCATTGCCCTCTCTGCACCTATTTTCTTGTTATAGCAACACAATATTTCTTTTGATCAAGCTCCCTTAGCCACAAGTCTTATGCTAAATTCCAGCAAGAATTAGGAATTAAGCTTTTAAAATGCAATATAGCAATCCAGTCATTTTGTATTCTTCTGCCCTGGTGTCCTAGCACAGGAAATTCAGCCTTTCTGCATCTTAATGCCATTTTTCCTGAACTGTGCATTGCAGAAGTCATTCCTGGGTCCAAATGTTTCCCTTTCATTGTTAAAGAATCATCTTCCCAGTACCTTTAATTCAGACGCTGATGTCACTGGAAAGGTATCCAGCAATAAACATGGGTGGAATAAACATACCAAAATAAAACAGCCTATGAAATCCTCTCATTGTAGCAGTAGTTTTCAGGGGTTGTAGAGAAAAATCCTATCCTACTACAAGCAGTATCCTACAAAAAACAAACTGTTTTCCAGATGTAGCGGACAAATGAATTTCAGGTGCATAATGTCCATAAATCTTGGAAGTTTTTATCTTTTTTCCCTTTCTCCCAACTCCCAGGGCTTTTCTCCCTCTGTCTTTCTCTTATCTCTTTCAGCTGCATGACACCACCTGATTTTTCGCCTGCATGCTTCTCAGTCTCTAGGTTACTTTCCCAGCACCACCAATTGCTAGATGATTTTTTTCTCTTTGACAGGTTTATTTTCCTTCCCAGATTTACTTTCCCAGAAAGCACTCTCATCTTCATTTCCCCCATCATCTCTGGCTGACGGACTCCTGGAGCACATTTCTCCAGGCAATACATCCTGCCCACAACACAGCAGCTCTGCAATCCCCCTACACTCCTACGGCTGAGCTCGCACAGCGGCTCTTGAACACTGGCTCTCCAACAACCAGGATGTACAAGCTCAGAAAACAAAAGTGGAGCATTAATTACACCCAGATCCTCCTTTGATACTTCTGTCACTAGTATTTGCAACCTCTATTATTAGGGCATGCTTTAATACTGATGCCTTACAATACTGCTAAATATAGGAATTGGTAAGGGGTCAAAGGAAAGGTATTTCACTATTGCCAACACAAAACACCTTAATGCACTTAATGGAAAGCTGTCTGTGGATTTGGAACTCCAGCCACTGATGGTTTACACCCCTTATACAAGCCATGGCCTCTTTTCCAATACCACCAAGCCCTTCTTGGCAAAGTGGAGAGCCTGTCTGTGATCCCACCTGCTCCTGCATCCCCTCCTGTTTCTCCTGCCTCTGAGGCCAAGGATGGTGCAACCCCAGCACACCCACCATGGCTCATCACAATGCAGCCCCAGCACACCCACCATGGCTCATCACAATGCAGCCCCAGCACACCCACCATGGCTCATCACATTGCTTTTCTGGCCTGGAATAGATGACTTCAGGATCAGTCAATACTGAAATGGATGTTGAGCTAAACTGAGGGTTTCTGGTGGTAAAAGATGCCTATTCTCAAAAGGAAAATATAGAAAGATAAAACTTAATGGCTTTAAATTTGGGAAAGGACTAAGTGAGTGCAGAGGCTGTAGCCCTTTTATTGCAGCATCGGAGACAGAGTGGTAGAGAGTATAAAATGAAGGTTTGGACTTTTGGTTGGGTTTTATTTGTCTGTAAAATGTTTTGCTCTTCACTTAAAATATAACATAGATCAACAAAATTCACTCAGATGTGCATGTAGGCCAGCAGTTTGCTCACCCTCTGGCCACAGTTTTCCAGTCATTTTTTTCTATATGCATTATTAATTTCAGTTAAACAGCTTCAGCTTTTATGCACAATCTATCCAGCAAGCACCCAGTTCATCTCCCAGGGGTTACGTACAGCACAGTAATGTGTGCCTTTAACATGCCAGAATTTCTCTCTCACTGTTTATAAAACCTCAACCTCTAGAATTACCTGTTTTTATTTTTTCCTTCTGCAGTGCCTGTTAGGCTGCCTTGGGTACCTCCTAAAGAAAAAAATGTAAAGGAAATCTTCATGAATTGTAAAACTCCTGTTTTGCTGCCTAATGGCAATTCATCTCTGCTAGGAGCTATTTGTCTGCATCTTCACAGATAACTATTTCATGAAGAGTTTTCTTGGCTTCCACTCCCAGTTGTGTCCAAAAAGCTGATTTTGAGCTAGCATTATGTCAGTTGTTCCACTGTAAAGTGAGACAAGAACAAAGCATATTCATTAGCATCAGCTGGTAGTAAACATCAAGTAGGAATCATCCCCTATGGGGTAAACACAAGTTAATTGATGTCCTGCTATTTTGACAGTTATTAAAAATATAAAAACTATTTCCTGATACAATGAAGAAATGCAACTTATGTACAAAGTCTGATTTAAAACAGTAGACAAAAATCACTGCATGGGTCCTGTGAAAGTCATACAAACACTAGAGTTACAAAACAGGCATAAAGAAAAGTCACATGTACAGAACCTAACTTCACAGGAAGGGGGCTACTCATGCACTTTGCTTGCTGTCAGAGGCAATTTTTTTTATTATTCTTGAAACTATGTTTGCTCAGGGCCTTGTTCTGAGAATATTTAGCCACTGCTAAGAGGCCTCATTCGTGACCAAGTGAAGAATGACACACAGAGGTGAAACCACAGCGGCAACTTTGCTAAACAGATAAAAATGCCTAAGAGAGAACTTTCCAGCCAGCTGGGAACTTTGCATTGACTCCTACA